CTCTCTCTCTCTCTCTCTCTCTCTCTCTCTCTCTCTCTCTCTACCATTCTGTTCTTTCTACTTCCCAGTTTCCCCCGTTATCAGATTAATCTCAGAACTTACCAAATAGTTGACCATTTCTAGCATGAGAACTTGCTGCTAATGACCAAATCTTCAATATACTTCCACTGGTCTGATCATCAACAATTTTATTGATGTCTTTCTTCTTTTCACCTTCCTAAAATGTAGGTTTTCCTCGTAGAATTCGTATAACAATGAATTCATTGCAATTTAAATTTAATTTTTAAAGCATAATTCGTTCGTAGAATCTGTTGAAAATAGTGTTGCTGAATGAGTCGTTAATTTGTCCTGAACAAATCAATTACATATATATTTGTTTGAGTTATCCGATCAGGAGATCTCAGTCGTTTACAGTATTGCATTTCTGAATACTATCACCTTGTATTTCATTTAATTTGTAAATTAATTAAATAAACAGTAATATTTCGCATTATTCAATCAAACAATCAATTGATTAATTAATCAATCAACCAATCAGTTTAGTACTTACCATCACCTGTTCAACGTTGCAAAGCTATATTCAAATGAAATTTCCATAATATCTGACAGACAGGGTGACGAAATCTTGTAAGTAAAATTAAATTAATGAAGAGAATATAGCTAACAATGGGTAGCATAACACAAAGTCATTTCAGTATCCACATCATGAACAATAACATCCAATTGTACTTATACAATGGACAATAAAAGGCTAACCCATACCTTCATGATAACCCAGATGGATCTTATAAAACTCTTTCCGATCCTTATATATAGGAAAAAAAAAAAAAACAATTCAGTTTCTAACAAGCAAGCAGACAAAATAGATCCTCTTCGCTTATTCTTCACGACTGAACCACAAACAATGATATTTTCACGTATCCACCATCATTGGACAACAAATTACGATATTCTCTTTCTATTCGCTAAATACATTTCCTATAACATATTCCCAATCCTGTCAACTAATCGATAGTCAAATTATTATCGAATGCAAACGACAAGGAATTTATCAGCTGATCATATCACTTGCTTATTGTATAACTCATCACTGCTTACTAATTCACCGCATAATATATATTTTTTACATCCTTTTTATTGTCAACTAGTAATATTGTGCAAGAAAACAATATTACATCTCGAAAAAATCTATATCGCTGAAAAACGAATTCAACAGATTAGCTTTCCCGACAGGGTTTAATATTATCGATGCTAATTAAGCCATCATATTTGATGATACGATTTTTATTTTGAGTGATATGAATTATAAAAGCATTCGTAGGAAATAAATTTCACTAATTAGGAAACCTTCAACTTTTGATTGGTCTTGTCTGAAAATTTTGGATCACATAAGTACACTTATCATTTATAACTAAGCTTCTTATAAAAAATAGTAATTGAAAAAATGAAATGTTGAAGGAATTTTGGCATTCTTCTTCGAAAGGAAGAGGAAATTAGTGAGTGGGATCATTTATATTTGAGATTATTGATGACTTGTCATTAATGATAGTATAGTAAATTTAAACTGGTTTAATATTCATGAAATCTCGAAGCATCGTCGTGGCAAATTGAAAATTCCGCCTGAAACAATTACTCAAAGTCATTTAATGGTGTTAAATAAATATTGGAAGTGAGTTTGAAGTGCTTAAACATAAAATAAAGTGATCAACTCAAAGTGAAACTAGACAAAATGATGGGGAAGTTTTCAAAGAGTAGAAAGGTCGCTCTGTAACAGGTAAGTACCTATTATTTTTTCCCAGAACAAAGGGTAAAGGGCAAATTTTTGCAAACTATTAATAAGCATTCATACCACACAGGTCTACTTATTATTGTCATATCAACAGATATCAAAATTTCAAAGAGAAATGCTTCAGTTTAAACTGATTGCGGTGATGGTTAATCACAGTTTGATCTTTTAAAAAGTGTGTGTAATTAAATTTTTAGAATTTGTGAAATTATGAAATTAAAACAAAACCTACTGTCATTTCAAAATGGTACCAAAATCAGCGGTACCTTTTTGACTGGGTTGTTTGTTGGATCCATATTCCCATGGAATCACACAAGGAAGAATGATTTTATGACAATGTTTCACTTGCTGTTTTGCATATTCCTGCAACTCTACATATCCATTGGAATGAAGAGCGCAAAATGTACAATGCATGAAATTGTAAGGTAAACGATGGTAACCATGAAAATGATGTGACTGATGTTGACAAGCGAAAATCTTGCGAAAATCTCAATGGCCAATCTTGATAATGATTGGAAAATATCGCAATTATACCAATGCCTGGTGATAGTTTTTTTATTTCTTTATTCTTAGCGAAATATCAAAAGAACTCTGATAGTTTAAAAACTTCAACATTCCCAGGTAATTCAGATTGGTTTTCGAGGAAGCAGAAGATTGGAATTGAACTTAAATCTTGAATTATCCTCACCCAGTACTGTGACATTGTTATTTACCGCTATCCATGTCGTGGAGAGTTTTCGATAACGATAACTAGAATATGACAAACGATTGTTCCGTTCAAGTAATTCGTTGCATCGGAATGCCGGAGAGTTTAATTGGGAATATTACGGTTTATTCAAAATGACCAGTGATGATGCAAAAAGAATTGTCTGAATGGGAATATCTGAGAATGGTAGTATTTACTGTGGCCACAACGATTTGAGTTTTAAAATGAAAATGGTCTAATAGGTAAGTTAAATAGAAATTAAGTAAAATTCATAAATCTTAGATTGGAACTAGAGAGTTCAACTTTTTCATACATAATGATTAAAGTGATTTAAAATGATCACATTTCAAAACATCAGCCAAATTCACGCTCTTCATTCTCACACTTCAATAACACTTTTCGCTTCTTCACGTTATTTTGACGGATTATATCAACCTATATCATCATCATTCCGTTTCTACTGATACACATCTATCGATATATACCTGCTTTTGCATGTGTATATGTATGTGTGTATGTATTGTATGTATATTTCTAAAAGTGCATCGTGCATTAATTTTTGAAAAATGAAAAATTTCGAACTACTACAGATTAAACTACCCACCATTACAATCCAATTTCGAAAGGATACCATGAAGATCGAATCAAGCAATAAGCAATAAGCGATGCTTGCGCAAGTTTTTCATTTGAATTTCATCTAATTTCACTTTACTTCCGCTTCCTGAGCTTTTCTCTTCTATGCATTGCCTTAGATTTTACATTAAATTGTAAATATCAAATTGTAAAATTTATAATGATCAGGAAAAACAGCAGGAAATGTGTTCATATATCAGCGGAGAAGTAATACGAACGATATCATTGATTATCTTGAAAATTGTTCTATCTATTGTTCAAACAACTTTATGGTTTAATGTGTTCAGAAAAAAGTCATTAGCTACAATTTAAATGATCAAAAAGCATTTTGGTGAAAGTTTAACAAATGTTCCCATGTAATAATTTGAATGAAGTATATTATCCGGACATATTACTGAGTTGCGACATTGTCGCAGCCTGGCGCAACTGTACCTCGTATATGTTCTCTCATATAATTTTATAATAGAAAAGAAAAAAGGAAAAAAAAGACAGGTGAAAGCGAAAACAGACAGAGGAAGTGTGCTTATTTTTTGTGTTGAAATTTCAAAAACAAAATGAAATATTTCAAAAAGATTAATCAAATGCATTAAGAATATTATTAATCATTTTTTTTTAACGTAAGAATAAACAGGCCAAGAATCACTTTACTATTAAACATTTTCATCAGTACAGGGCTAGTAGGATTCATGCTATATCAATACAGAACTGATGTCACGCATGTCATATCAGTATAGGACTTATAGGATACATGCTATATCAGTCCAGGACTGATAGCATTCATGCTACATTAGTACACGATTGATAAGAATCCTATTAGTATGCTATTAGAAAATTAAATTTGACAAAGTTAAGAGAATAGGACTGATAAATGACATGCAAGAAAAGGTACATGCTCAGT